CCACTGTATTGACTTCATCGTTACTTACTTATTGATTATCTCCCCTTTCTTACAGCATTTGTGACCACAGTACGCTGGGCACACACCCTTTCATGGTCATGTAATCATGATTGGCCATGAAAGGGGATTATGTGTGCAGTGGACTGTGGTAGCAAGTGATTTATTGCCCACACTTTTCCATTGTGAGAGATGGGAAGTATGCAGTAAGACTAGTAATACATTAGTCCCGGTTTCGACTCCTAACCGAGGACAAAGAACAATGGCGCTCTCGTATAAGTGGGGATCCTGGTATAACGTAAGAAAATGTCATATACATTTTTGGACGGAGAGTATGTCACAGTGAACAAGGTACTGTGGAAGCACAGATACTACGGGATATTTTTCGAGTAATTTCGCCTCAAATGAAACCTTTGCGTGTGTTTTCATCTTCAGTTCACAAACTGACCACTCTCTTAAAGAAAATCAATTATAACTGGTGTGGAGTCGAATGACTTTAATCTATTTATTTATTGTAGACTCCGACCGTTCGTTCCCTACTTGCTACTGTAATCAACGTTATAAACCCTTTTGTGAAGCTGAACCAAGTCGAAGTACCCTCATCGATAATAGGGTATGGGGAGTCCTAGAACATTTAAACGGTCGTGGTAAGACTTTTCCTGCAGTGTCGGCACCCGTTAGTTACTCCCCTATATACTCTATAAAGCCCGTTTGACTAGTGTATAAATTAATGATCAGTTTGTTGTCGTATACTCCGTGTGGTTTGGCTCGTGTTTTGAAACGTTCTTAGATCCATAAATGCCAATGTCCGAAAAAACCCACCATGATTTGTTATGCTTTTGAAGCTTCAGCACTCATTTGACTCAAACCAAAACAATGCTTAGCATTGATGATCAATCCTTTTGATTGTAGTTATTTTGTCATCTGCAATAATTCGTTAATTGCTTGTTTTGGCACTATACCCAATTTCTAAAAATGCTTTTTCTGTATTATATTTTTCGGTCACGTCGTGCGTCCACTCGACACTTTGTATTGCTAGATCAACAACACTGGTCTGGGGTTCACCAGTGGTGACCTAGAGTGTAAAGGTTCACCGCTTTCTATAATTTATGTTTGCTCCATGTTGGTTAGGAAGTCGTTAATCCTACCGAGAATTTTTTGACTGTAGTTCCTTATTTTACTTATAACAAGCGTCGTCGGCAGGATATTGGTTTACAACATAAGTAGATCCAGGTTTTTGTCTTATTTTATTCACCTCTAAAACTGTTTGTGTTATCCTCGGAACCTATACGGGTCACCTAAAGTACGTCGTTATCACTATCTAATGAGGACATGCTATATTCTGTTTTCAATAGTGTCTCCAAATGTTCTAGTCTTATTGGGTCTTAGCTGTTATAAGGACTTGAAACGGTAACAACAATAAATAAAAAGATGCAAATTAATAACAATGAGATATTAGATAAGCAGTAATTTTGATTTTTTTCATTTGCATTCCCCTTACTATAACTGACACGTACTTCAAAAGGTACATTTCTATATACATATATATGCTATATCTAACAACTTCTTGTTTGAGTTTTCAGCCAAAACGCTAATTCAAGATCTCCCGTAGAGATGTAGATATTTGCTGTCATTGTTCGACAGATGTATCACAAACAGTCGGAGTAAAGTGCACCCTTTTACAAATGTCATTAGATAATTCTCCTCACATTACTGAAACGGATATTGATTGTGATACATCTCCGTTACAAACATTAAAGTTACCGATTTTCAGAAAACTTATGGCTTGATACAATAAAGAAACATTGATTTGAAACCGATACTCGCCTTTTATCTGTGCTTGGAGGTATTGAAGTGATCAAGTAAACCGGAGATATTGTAGTCTTAGAATCTTAGCGGAAATCCCAAAATCAATTACGAGTCTTTTAATCAATAATGAAAAACAAGAATAATAGGCACAGCAATCCGGATTATACACCTGCCTGCCTCTCCTCACTTTGAAATTGTTACTGTGTTTCCATTTCTTCATTACATTTTAATAGAAAACAATTTCCCCATTACTGTGTGTATATGACAGAGCTGTCCAGTAAGAAGGGGGCATACATTTCTGTCTTACATAGAATAGAAGACGAGATACACTTGTAGCAGGTGTTGGCGAGTACTATTAAGTTAAACAAAAGGAACACAGAGCAATAATAGAGTAAATCCTGAATAATTCATCATCACCTGTTAGATACTCACAATTTTTTTTTGACCGAATATTGTAGTAGTAACATGAAACAAAACCCAGTTTGAATGGTAACGAATGTACATCGATTTTGCTCTGTAGTGAAGTACATAAAAATAGCATAACGAAGCAGGACTCGCCCATAGAAACATGATAAATAGTCCCCATACTTGTATTGACTACCACACTTATGTAGACAGTGTGAACGTACCTTGTACGTCGGGGCCTTGTGGTTCAATAAGTACTGTGTACTACGTTTTAATGAGGAAGGTTGATCGTTTATTGAGACATCAAAAAACAACAGAAATAATTTATAATGTCACTGTTCTAAAATACTTAGGAATATAAAAACTCCCTGCTCAGTAAGAAGTTATCATATATTTCCTTCATTTATTGGAAGATAATCACTTGGAACAATAGTCTGACTAATTATAACTTTCACCACAATATAGTGCATTGAACATCCAATTTGTTTGGCTTTCGGCATTGCCTAACATATTAATTTTAATAGAGGTATTCCTTACACCTTATTTTTAATGGTTATTTTATATATAGACGTTTAGTTCCGATCTTTTATCAGTTAAATGGTCTATTAACATCCAACGCTAGTTGATTTCTAACTCGCCAAACGGTATTATACCACATCGGTTTATAAACAGTATACTCATTTTTTTTCAAATTAAGGAATTGTTCTTAAAATACGACTCACCATTAAAATATATTGCTTATTTATTATGTATGTCACTTTTTTTAATTTTTTAAATGTCTCCTTGTTATTCTTTGTTTTAATTTTTCATTACCTCTTCTCATTTATATATGTTTTATTTTATTCTCTGATTGATTTAATATTTCCTATTTAAGGACGACCTCCGATAGACAGCTTTAATCAGCTGTGTGTCTTAGTGCCATATATACTAGATAGGGAAACTGAAGATATAACGTCACGTTACTACAATTGGTACACTAACCAAATTGGTACTGTTAGAAAATGGTGCGAATAGTACTTTAAAATTAAATTTGAACATTTTCCTCTCACAGTATAACAAGAGAGATATTTATCAGCATTTCTGCCAAATAGTTTTGTTTTCAGGAACATTTTAAGAGTACATGATGACTTAAAAGTAAACATACAAGAAAACTAATAAAAATGACGTATGTCGACGAATCTTTGGAGGATTTTGAAGGATAATTTATAAGCATGTTTAAATGTTGATTTATCGGCCTTGTAACCTGATACTATAAAAGTGTATATATACAATTATAGTTCAGTATGGTATATATAAAAGCAGTATATTGTGTTACAATCGTCACCTCAGCTAGTAGAAAAACAAACAAGTTGCATTGCCTGTGATATGGTGTACCAATTTGGGTACTAATCATGGCCAAAAACTGGACGAAATTTCACTGCGGGTTAAATGTTCTTTTTTTTAAAAAAACAAATTAATTAGAATCAAGTGTTTTTTTCTGAAAATGAATCACTATGGGTGGTTTTTGTAAAGAATCAAGAATCTATTCGGATACATTTTTAAATGTCACTGACAAACTGTCAAAACTGTACCAATTGTGGTAGCGTGACGTACAGACAAAACATAACCATGGCAGATCTTTGTTGTAGCGTGACGTTACAGACAATCATAACCATGGCAGATCTTTGTTGTAGCGTGACGTTACAGCCAATCATAACCATGGCAGATCTTTGTGGTAGCGTGACGTACAGACAAAACATACCCATGGCAGATCTTTGATGTAGCGTGTCGTACAGACAAAACATAACCATGGCAGATCTTTGTGGTAGCGTGACGTACAGACAAAACATAACCATGGCAGATCTTTGTGGTAGCGTGACGTACAGACAAAACATAACCATGGCAGATCTTTGTNTGTTGTAGCGTGACGTTACAGACAATCATAACCATGGCAGATCTTTGTTGTAGCGTGACGTTACAGACAATCATAACCATGGCATATCTTTGTTGTAGCGTGACGTTACAGACAATCATAACCATGGCAGATCTTTGTTGTAGCGTGACGTTACAGACAATCATAACCATGGCATATCTTTGTTGTAGCGTGACGTTACAGACAATTATAACCATGGCATATCTTTGTTGTAGCGTGACGTTACAGACAATCATAACCATGGCATATCTTTGTTGGAACGTTGTTACGTCGTCTCAAGCTTTCAAACATTATGATGCTTTAACCTTTACAATACAAATATTGTTAATATAACATTAATGACTTCATTCAAACTGCAATCAAAAGAAAAAGTAAAAAACGTTATACCCATTTTAAAACCGCAGTCGATTTGTTAGCTGTTAATCCAATTTATCTCTAACCTTTAAAATATCTACACTGTAAGGTATGTGTGTTGTAACTGTCTAAATGAGAGCAAAGACACTGGCGCATGACAAAACGCTACATTCTAGTACATGCAATGATGATTTATGGGTAATTTACACCCTTAAGGATTTACATTGTTTTTCTTGGATGGAATTTGTTAAGAGCTGGACAATTAAATGTCAACTTGAGTGTTTTATATTAATCCATCACACACCTGTAAACACAAACATGTTCCATTTCGGCGGAGTTAACCAAAACTGATCCGAGGAAGGTATTTCGTTCTGGTTATATGAACATCTAAGTTTATCCGACCCAACGTGTATATCCTGGGATCAAACGGTCACAGAAGTAAACGTGTAATACCTAAACCCTGGTGCAGAAAATGTCATGTTGACACTGCACTGGGCACTACTCTCAGAGTGACCATAACACTCGCCAGACGACATACGAATAAAAAACGACCTGCAGACGTCTGACTCCGAACATCGGACGGCACAGTGTATTGTTGACTGCACGACATCATTAAACAGTTCCCCTCGCATCACCGTATCGCGGAAAGCTAGCACCTCCTCCCATTTCACCTGGGGACCTGGAAAGACAAACATACACTATTACAACTGCACTGGAATCAATCGTAGCTGGATGTAATATAATAGCATCTCTACAGTGTGTTGTTGACTTACATGATTTTATTGAATCGATATTGATTGTTACAGAACATCTTTCTTTTAAGTTTTTTGTTTCGAAAACCACAATGAGATTGTAACTGATACATGTACTTATAACTGAAATAATTATAAGTAAAGCCGTGCTCTAACGATCTACCTTTTGGAAGTGTCACGTTGACGGGAACTTCCGAACAAGAAGACAGAGCCTGAACCGTGAATGTAGGAACAGCAGACGACGTGGAAGATGTTACAGACAATGACAGAGGCGATGTGACGATGGCTGAGGAGACCGCTAATAGTTCAGTAGTCGGAGACACCGTGACAGGTTCAGACGATGTCAACGGAGATGAAGATGTAGCAGGAAACAACGCGAACGTTTCAGACGATTCGAGAGGCGATGAGGTGATATCGGACGATACTGTAGATGGTTCCGATGATTCAAGGGATGCCACAGCGCCAGGCGATGATGTTGTAGGTGCCATAAACGATTCCTGGAAATCTGTTGTAAGGACGCTTGTATACGCAATGTGCGAATACGACGACGTTACTTCAAAACTAGTGAACTCTGAAGCATAAGTAGTATCAGACTGAACAGAATTAGATCCACCAAGATATTCTGTATACAAGCTGGATGTCGGAAAAGTGTCGGTGGCAAAACTCACGTCTGTGGCTGTTGAAAATGCGTCGTGTGCTGTGCTACTCTCTGTAAAAGGGAAAATATTCAAAATATTCACAGATATTAGGGAAAACACTAGTGAAACATTAATGTGGGTTATACGCTAAAAATCATTTCATATGTTAATTTTATTTGTTTATATAAGTTAAAAAATAACATATACAGATATATTCCCACTATACAGGGCACCAATTTCTATCATCTCCCTTTTAATGATGTATTGGTGGTGTGTTTTTATTGTAAAGAAAGGTGTGTAGTAGACATTGTTTTGTTTCATTGGGAAAAGGTGTTTTCGTTGAGGTTTGTTAACGTTGAAATACAACTAGTTTACACCTAATATGTATTTTACTTAATGGAGACAATTCGTTCGTGTGTTTAAGCATACACTTCGTAACAAAAATACCTATCGGGAATGGAGAGCGCTATACATGAGGCGGTCTTATAACAATTGGTTGTAAGCTGTAACCAAAGATCGGACATGATATGTATGCGTGAATGCATGATAAGTCTACCAACAAAGCAAAGTGAAAAGTGTGGGATAAAACCTGTGACGTCACGCCTAGGACAAGTACATGACGTCACAAACTAACTCACTGGGGTCAAAATGGCGGCTTTTTACATTTCAAGGTTGCATGAAAATTGTCGTTTTGCACAAATAAATGCCACAAATCTTGATTATGTGATAAAAAGGATCTTCCATCTTTTTTCATTTCATGCAATTTATGAAACTCGTCGCGAAATTTTCTTTTTAGCTCGCCAGAGGCTCGCTAAATTGAAAAATTCTAAGACTTGTTTCATAAATCTCATATAAAATGGAAACTAATGTAAAATCCTATATATATTGTCTGGTAAAAATAATACAATTTAATTGTTATGTTGAAGATGAAGTTTTGTTGGCAAGGTGACGGTGCCATGCTAAATGTATATGTTAAACATTTTTGGATTAGGTGTGTGTGTATACTGACAAGTCCTACATGGAAGAAATGGCCATTTGGTGCAGTGAAAATTTGTGACAAACTGAAATTTGAAAAGACGCTTTCATTTTCCTTTTTCAAGGAATCATTTGGTAATATTTGTTAATCTACATTTACAATCCCAGCAGTGAAACATTGCGTTCAGTACATTGAGATTCCTCTATAGAAATAAAGAGATGTGTTCACGGTTGCTCTCAGTACGAACGACGTACACACCTTGACAATGCTTTAAGAAGAATGAGAACCCCTGATGGACGACAGTGGAAGTACAAGGGTAGCCGCTACACTCACTGGTGTCAGTATTGTACGACACTCCCAAACAGTCTGGCGACGTGATACACAAGTTCAGGCATAACGGAAGGTTGATGACTGTTGCAGACGCAAAAGGACTGCAGCTGCCATCAGTATTGTTGTTGACAAACGTCATCTCGCACCCTAAAGAAAACAAAACATTGTTGATAATAGCTTGATATGACCTATGACCTCGATGTAAAAGGTATTATAGTAGTAAGGCGACAGCATGTATTCAATAAATAAGCTTAATACATATATATAAAAAAAAGAAATGACAAGTGTTTCTTAGTACCTCCCCAGCGCTTTCGCCTCTTTAGAGGTTCATCAGGGGAACTCTATAAATGTATATACTACACTGCATTATGTTCTCTTTGCCCGGTAGATATATAAAAAGTTAATACAATTGTGTGACACAGAGTAAAACATCATAAACCGATTTTCTATAAACTGACCTTTTAAGCAATATGTATAATCTCATCATACTTCAGACAATCACAAACCAAAACAATAGCCAGAAACATATTTCCTTATATTTCACCAGACTTGATGCTAATAAACTGAGTATAGTCCAGAACAAAATCGCAAGATATCTTAGTCATTATTCAGTGAAATCAATCAATGTAAAAAGGTCCCCCAACAAAAAGTTATCTGCAAATGAGCATTTAGTATTTGGGGAAAAACATAGACGGATTAATTGTTCCAATTAGGTACCAATTATTTAATTTAATAATTTCAACAATTTACTACGTAGGTGTTAGTTTGATGATGTGAATGAAAAATATATAATTAATACGGATTATAAGATATAATTATATACCTGAATGTATTAGATGTAAGCAATACTAATTGATATTCATTGTAAACTGGAATATATTTCGTCCATTTTTTCTCATCATTTTCTGATTATAACTCCTTGGAGATTTCAAAATGAACCGTGACTGAATAACAACTGTTTGTATGCTATAATAAAACAAAAAACTATAACGTTACAGATCCATAGACAATGACGTAACAAAATCACACACTACGTTAGAAAACAACAAACTATAACGTAAAAAACACAGACTATGACGTCACAAATCCACAAACTGTGATGTTACGAAAAAACAATATCAATGACGTAACACATCCTCGACTATAATGTCACACATCCACGGATTATGACGTCACAGAAGTACAGACTATGGCGTCATAAAACCACAAACTACGACGTTACAAATCCACAGACTATAACGTAACAAAACCACATACTATGACGTCACGAAGCCACATTCTATGACGTCACAAAACCACATGCTATGACGTCACAAAACCACATACTATGACGTCACAAAACCACAAACTATGACGTCACAAAACCACATGCTATGACGTCACAAAACCACATACTATGACGTCACAAAACCACATACTATGATGTCACAAAACCACATGCTTTGAAGTTACAAAACAACATATTATGTTGTCACAAACTACTTAATACGACGTTACTAAACAACAGACTATGACGTTCGTGTTTTTATCACAGTGATATTTTGTAAACAGGAAACACTCATTGGACCGTTTTACAATATGTCTACGACAACCTTTTACAGTAAATATAGTTATAATACCCTGGGTTAGGAATATTTTCCTTCAACAATACATGCATATCTATACCATAATACGTAAGTCAAAACCATCGTCATTGTGACACCTGTTAACCAAGCACAGTGTTCACTGTACATACGTAGCGTCCTCCATCGTCAGTAAACAAATAATGGAACATATGCCTGCAACCCTGCATCGACAGTATTGTGATTAGAAAATTATGTACGACTTAAATAGAAACTACATAAAACTTACCTTTTACACTCCCAGCCACAAGTACAAGAAACAAGGACCAGCAATATAAATAGAGTTTGATGTTTAAGAGAAAGTCCTCCATTATATAATTCAACTGTCTACTGATCATGAGAATATTGTCGTGGTGGTAGAATCCAATGGTTCAATATCAGTCAGGTACAAGTCATATTGCGTCTGTTGGCCAGGCTTATGACGAGCTTGTTACGGGCATGCTTATTGATGGTGATTTACATCATAGTAACAGCTATGTAAGAAAGCTCCTCAGAGCTAATGGTACATTATGTATATGTTAAATACAGAGTGTAAACGACAAAAAGCAAAGAGTATTCCATCATACTAAATTATATGTATTTCACGATACAAATACATAGTTAAACTGAAATGGAATCAATTGTATCTGTTTTACGATACATTTACATCAAATTAACGGACAGGTAATTAACAATAGCTAGCCTTTTCAGATAAGTACTGTAAGTTCTGAACATATAGTACAGTACATGTAACAGTGACGTAGTTCCAGTATACATTTAACTGTATCCGGTAACGGTGATGTGTTTAAACACTTATCAAAGACAAATTGAGGCTATCACAATCAGTCATCAACAAAACAAAGTCACAAATGAATGCTGTTTTTTGTTTTATTCATATCATAGTTATCAAACGTTTTAATGGGGGGTGTTAAAACAAATTACAAGTAAACGGTTAACTCATTTATTTATCCTTTATTCAGCAGTTAAGTTTATAATACGCATTTTTAATCATTGCCATGGTTTACTACCAACTTGAAACCTCTTACGATATAAAAGTGTGGTCAGTTAATATTGCAGCAGGCCAATGCACACAGCCGAATGACCAGGGGACTTTATGTACTATATTGAGTGACTTTGTGGGAGAGGAGACAGCCTGTGTTGAAAGGGGGACAACCTGTGTTGAAAGAGGGACACGGCAGCTTGAAGTTGTTGGCATTCCTCCATTTTGCTCATGACTTGATTAAACTAAGTTAATGTATTATGTTTTTGGTTAAACGGACATTATCATTGATTCACGGAAGCACTGGAAATGTGTACAGATGCGTACTGATAAGGTCACGGTAGATAAGCAATTTCTTTGAGCTCTAGCTGAAACTTTAAGTTTACACTTTCATATTTCCATTTTGACTGCAAAAACTAAAAGTCTACAGCAGGCATCGTATCGCATCATGTTTACACCAACAACAAATACGAAATATTCCAAAGATATTTATCCCAGTATTTCTGTTGGTCAATGCTAGTTTACAAGACAAATGAAAATTCATAATAACGTAGAAAATAATTTAAATGTAATCAGATACATCGCAAATATCACATATCAATTGGAATTCCGAAGACCCCAGGCTGAGGCTGCCTCACATGAAATTGTCACGTCTTCGTTGGCGCTGTTTGTTCTTCATTTTTTCTTTGCCCATTACGCCGCTGAGCTGGTTAACCATGGCGCGACGACGCTTCTCTAGGTATTCAACTTGGTCCTCATCTATCGCCTCCTCGATCTCATTCTCGAAGTTCGGGTTATTGACCACGTTACGCCCCTTTGTGGCGATCAAGAAGCGTCTTGTGTTGGCATTAGCGAGTCCTTCCCCGTCTCGCGTATTGAGATAGCTGAGATAAAGCGCCATTTTCTTTTTCTGTTCCGCAAATTTATCAATTTCATCTGCGATATCATCCACAACATCATGGTTCCCATTCGGGTCCTCTTCCTTTGACTTCACGGGCTCATCAGTGTTGACTGCCGGTTCAACCTTCTTCTTTCTGTGAATTAAAAGCAACTCTTTGTGAAGAGGAAAACGTTTCAAAATTAAAAGACATTGTGTTTATAATAAACCACATATTTGCATCAATAATGCAAGCGAATTATAGTCGACGTTGTTTTCTAGATAGCACCTAAAGGGACAAGTATTACTCGGTATAAGTATTTGATTAATTTAGGACTGCCACCAACATACAGAAGCCTGTCAGTGTCACGTGAAGTATATAAACGACGTATTAACGACAAAGCCACCTTCTAATTGTAACATAGTAATCTGGTGATGACAGCATAGCCACCACCTAATTGTGACATAGTTATCTAGTAATGACAACATAGCCACCACCTAATTGTGACATAGTAATCTCGTAATGACAACATAGCCACTTCATAAGTGTGACAGTTATCTCGTAATGACAACATGGCCACCACCTAATTGTGACATAGTAATCTCGTAATGACAACATAGCCACCACCTAATTGTGACATAGTAATCTCGTAATGACAACATAGCCACCTTCTAATTGTGACAGAGTTATCTCGTAGTGACAACATCGCCACCTCCTAATTGTGACAGAGATATCTCGTAATGACAACATGGCCACCACCTAATTGTGACATAGTAATCTCGTAATGACAACATAGCCACCTTCTAATTGTGACAGAGTTATCTCGTAATGACAACATCGCCACCTCCTAATTGTGACAGAGATATCTCGTAATGACAACATGGCCACCACCTAATTGTGACATAGTAATCTCGTAATGACAACATAGCCACCTTCTAATTGTGACAGAGTTATCTCGTAATGACAACATCGCCACCTCCTAATTGTGACAGAGATATCTCGTAATGACAACATGGCCACCACCTAATTGTGACATAGTAATCTCGTAATGACAACATAGCCACCTTCTAATTGTGACAGAGTTATCTCGTAATGACAACATCGCCACCTCCTAATTGTGACAGAGATATCTCGTAATGACAACATGGCCACCACCTAATTGTGACATAGTAATCTCGTAATGACAACATAGCCACCTTCTAATTGTGACAGAGTTATCTCGTAGTGACAACATCGCCACCTCCTAATTGTGACAGAGATATCTCGTAATGACAACATGGCCACCACCTAATTGTGACATAGTAATCTCGTAATGACAACATAGCCACCTTCTAATTGTGACAGAGTTATCTCGTAGTGACAACATCGCCACCTCCTAATTGTGACAGAGATATCTCGTAATGACAACATGGCCACCACCTAATTGTGACATAGTAATCTCGTAATGACAACATAGCCACCTTCTAATTGTGACAGAGTTATCTCGTAATGACAACATCGCCACCTCCTAATTGTGACAGAGATATCTCGTAATGACAACATGGCCACCACCTAATTGTGACATAGTAATCTCGTAATGACAACATAGCCACCTTCTAATTGTGACAGAGTTATCTCGTAATGACAACATCGCCACCTCCTAATTGTGACAGAGATATCTCGTAATGACAACATGGCCACCACCTAATTGTGACATAGTAATCTCGTAATGACAACATAGCCACCTTCTAATTGTGACAGAGTTATCTCGTAATGACAACATCGCCACCTCCTAATTGTGACAGAGATATCTCGTAATGACAACATGGCCACCACCTAATTGTGACATAGTAATCTCGTAATGACAACATAGCCACCTTCTAATTGTGACAGAGTTATCTCGTAATGACAACATCGCCACCTCCTAATTGTGACAGAGATATCTCGTAATGACAACATGGCCACCACCTAATTGTGACATAGTAATCTCGTAATGACAACATAGCCACCTTCTAATTGTGACAGAGTTATCTCGTAATGACAACATAGCCACATCCTCATTGTGACATAGCTATCTCGTAATGACAACATGGCCACCTCCTAAATGTGACATAGTTATTTCGTAATTACAACATAGCCACCTTCTAATTGTGACAGAGTTATCTGGTAATGACAACATAGCCACCTCCTAATTGTGACAGAGTTATCTCGTAATGACAACATGGCCACCACCTAATTGTGACATAGTTATCTCGTAATGACAACATAGCCTCCTCCTAATTGTTACATAGTTATCTCGTAATGACAACATATCCACCTCCTAATTGTGACATAGTTATCTCGTAATGACGACATAGCCACCTCCTAGTTGTGACATAGTTATCTCGTAATGACAACATAGCCACATCCTTATTGTGACATAGCTATCTCGTAATGACAACATGACCACCTCCTAAATGTGACATGGTTATCTCGTAATTACAACATAGCCACCTCCTAATTGCGACATAGTTACATTGTAATGACAACATAGCCACCTCCTAGTTGTGACATAGTTATCTCGTAATGACGACATAGCCACCTCCTAATTGTGACAGAGTTATCTCGTAATGACAACATAGCCACCTCCTTATTGTGAATAGTTATTTCGTAATGACAACATAGCCACCACCTAATTGTGACATAGTTATCTAGTAATGACAACATAGCCACCTCCTAATTGTGACATAGCTATCTCGTTAAGACAACATAACCACCTCCTAAATGTGACAGTTATCTCGTAATGACAACATGCCCACCCCCTAATTGTGGCATAATTATCTCGTAATGACAACATAGCCACATCCTAATTGTGACATAGTTATCTCGTAATGACAGCACAGCCACCTCCTAATTGTGACATAGTTATCTCGTAATGACAACATGCCACCTCCTAATTGTGACATAGTTATTTCGTAATGACAACCAAGCCACCACCTAATTGTGACATAGTTATCTCGTAATGACAACATAGCCTCCTCCTAATTGTGACATAGCTATCTCGTTAAGACACCATAACCACCTCCTAAATGTGACAGTTATCTCGTAATGACAACATGCCCACCACCTAATTGTGACATAATTATCTCGTAATGACAACATAGCCACATCCTAATTGTGACAGAGTTATCTCGTAATGACAGCACAGCCACCTCCTAATTGTGACATAGTTATCTCGTAATGACAACATGCCACCTCCTAATTGTGACATAGTTATTTCGTAAAGACAACATAACCACCTCCTAAATGTGACAGTTATCTCGTAATGACAACATGCCCACCACCTAATTGTGACATAATTATCTCGTAATGACAACATAGCCACATCCTAATTGTGACATAGTTATCTCGTAATGACAACATGCCACCTCCTAATTGTGACATAGTTATTTCGTAAAGACAACATAACCACCTCCTAAATGTGACAGTTATCTCGTAATGACAACATGGCTACCACCTAATTGTGACATAATTATCTCGTAATGACAACATAGCCACATCCTAATTGCGACATAGTTCTATTGTAATGACAACATAGCCACATCCTAATTGTGACAGAGTTATCTCGTAATGACAGCACAGCCACCTCCTAATTGTGACATAGTTATCTCGTAATGACAACATGGCCACCACCCACCTAATTGTGACATAGTTATCTAGTAATGACAACATAGCCCCCTCCTAATTGTGACATAGTAATCTCGTAAAGACAACATAACCACCTCCTAAATGTGACAGTTATCTCGTAATGACAACATGCCCACCACCTAATTGTGACATAATTATCTCGTAATGACAACATAGCCACATCCTAATTGTGACATAGTTATCTCGTAATGACAGCACAGCCACCTCCTAATTGTGACATAGTTATCTAGTAATGACAACATAGCCTCCTCCTAATTGTGACATAGCTATCTCGTTAAGACAACATAACCACCTCCTAAATGTGATAGTTATCTCGTAATGACAACATGGCCACCACCCACCTAATTGTGACATAGTTATCTAGTAATGACAACATAGTCACCACCTAATTGTGACATAGTAATCTCGTAATGACAACATAGTCACATCCTCATTGTGGCATAGCTATCTCGTAATGACAACATGGCCACCTCCTAAATGTGGCATAGTTATCTCGTAATTACAACATAGCCACCTTCTAATTGTGACAGAGTTGCCTGGTAATGACAACATAGCCACCTCCTAATTGTGACATAGCTATCTCGTTAAGACACCATAACCACCTCCTAAATGTGACAGTTATCTCGTAATGACAACATGGCTACCACCTAATTGTGACATAATTATCTCGTAATGACAACATAGCCACATCCTTATTGTGACATAGCTATCTCGTAATGACAACATGGCCACCTCCTAAATGTGACATAGTTATCTCGTAATGACAACATAGCCACCTTCTAATTGTGACAGAGTTGCCTGGTAATGACAACATAGCCACCTCCTAATTGTGACATGATAGCCACCTCCTAATTGTGACATAGTTATTTCGTAATGACAACCAAGCCACCACCTAATTGTGACATAGTTATCTCGTAATGACAACATGGCCACCACCCACCTAATTGTGACATAGTTATCTAGTAATGACAACATAGCCTCCTCCTAATTGTGACATAGCTATCTCGTTAAGACAACATAACCACCTCCTAAATGTGATAGTTATCTCGTAATGACAACATGGCCACCACCTAACTGTGACAGTTATCTCGTAATGACAACATAGCCACATCCTAATTGCGACATAGTTATATTGTAATGACAACATAGCCACCTCCTAATTGTGAAATAGTTATCTCGTAATGACAACATGGCCACCACCTAACTGTGACAGTTATCTCGTAATGACAACATAGCCACCTCCTAATTGTGACATAGTTATTTCGTAAAGACAACATAACCACCTCCTAAATGTGACAGTTTTCTCGTAATGACAACATGGCCACCACCTAATTGTTACATAATTATCTCGTAATGACAACATAGCCACATCCTAATTGCGACATAGTTATATTGTAATGACAACATAGCCACATCCTAATTGTGACAGAGTTATCTCGTAATGACAGCACAGCCACCTCCTAATTGTGACATAGTTATTTCGTAATGACAACCAAGCCTCCACCTAATTGTGACATAGTTATCTCGTCATGACAACATGGCCACCACCTAATTGTTACATAATTATCTCGTAATAACAACATAGCCACATCCTAATTGCGACATACTCATATTGTAATGACAACATAGCCACATCCTAATTGTTACATAGTTATCGAGTAATGACAATATAGCCACCACCTAATCGTGACAGAGTTATCTCGTAATGACAACAGGGCCACCACCTAATTGTGACATAGTTATCTAGTAATGACAACATAGCCACCTCCTAATTGCGACATAGTTATATTGTAATTACAACATAGCCACATCCTAATTGTGACAGAGTTATCACGTAATGACAGCACAGCCACCTCCTAATTGTGACATAGTTATCTCGTTATGACAACATGGCCACCACCTAATTGTGACATAGATATCTCGTAATGACAACATAGCCACATCGTAATTGCGACATAGTTATATTGTAATGACGACATAGCCACATCCTAATTGCGACATAGATATATTGTAATGACAACATAGCCACATTCTAATTGCGACATAGTTATATTGTAATGACAACATAGCCACAACCTAATTGTGACAGAGTTATCTCGTAATGACAAAATAGCCACCTCCTAATTGTGACATAGTTATTTAGTAATGACAACATAGCCACCTCCTAATTGTGAAATAGTTATCTCGTAATGACAACATGGCCATAACCTAGATGTGACATAGTTATTTCGTAATGACATCATAGCTACCACCTAACTGTGACATAGTTATCTCATAATAACAACATGGCCACCACCTTATTGTGACAGAGCTATCTCGTAATGACAACATAGCCACCACCTAATCGTGACAGTTATCTCGTAATGACAACATAGCCACACCCTTATTGTGACATAGTTATCTCGTAATGACACCATGGCCACCCCCTAATTGTGACATAGTTATTTCGTAATGACAACCAAGCCACCACCTAATTGTGACAGTTATCTCGCAATGACAACATAGCCATCCCCTAGATGTGACATAGTTATTTCGTAATGACAACATAGCCACCACCTAATTGTGACAGTTGTCTCGTAATGACAACATAGCCACATCCTAATTGTTACATAGTTATCTAGTAATGACAATATAGCCACCACCTAATTGTGACAGAGTTATCTCGTAATGACAACATGGCCACCACCTAATTGTGACATAGTTATCTCGTAATGACAACATAGCCACCACCTAATTGTGACAGTTATCTCGTAATGACAACATAGCCACATCCTAATTGTGACAGAGTTATCTCGTAATGACAACATGGCCACCACCTAATTGTGACATAGTTATCTCGTAATGACAACATAGCCACCTCCTAATTGTGACATGGTTATCTCGTAATGACAACAAGGCCACCACCTAATTGTGACATAGTTATCTCATATTGACAACATAACCACCTCCTAATTGTGACAGTTATCTCGTAATGACAGCATAGCCACCTCCTAATTGTGACATAATATCTCTTTACGTTGTATGTCTTTTTATGCTTTTAATAGTTAATTTCCGTCGTTTTAGCCAATAAATTGAAATGTTCAAACTCTATCACGCTCGTCAAAGTTCGTGTATGGCTGCTTTACTGGTTATACCTCTTTTATATAAAAACTACATTATCTTTCACAAAACGCAAATGTCTATAACTGTTATATAATCTGCTTAGTTTTCCCCGTTAAATTAAGATTCGTCGGTACGAAATGAAACCAAACGTGTTTTTTTAGGTTCATATTGGAATTTATCGGAATTGCACTCATTACACAAAGTTTGTGTTGATCTTCCTAGTGAGAATTATATTGGAAATCATGCCAACTTACGAGATATCGTTATATCCTAATTACGGCATGCCTTTAGCCATTTTTATTATTACGAGATAATTTTGTAGTAATTCAGAGATACCAAAGTCGTAATTACAAGACATTTCTTTCGTAATCCTAGAATGTACGGTACATCCAAGATCCACAAGCGGAGAAACCCACTGAGGCTTTTGTGGACTACACTGGATCCATTGGTTACAATGTTTCCAGATGATAAGCAGACATTCTTGGGCCGCTAGTGGGTAAATCGGAACACCATTTAAAGAATTCGAAACATCTAGCGGAAGCTATGTCTACCATCATGATTCAGGAAGACCAAGAATTCATTTCACATGATGTTGACTCTCTCTTTACCAACACACCCATTGACGACGCACTTAGAACAATTCGAAACGTTTGGAATTAGACAGATCCTGGCACAAAAAGACAGATCCTGGCGCAAAAACACAAACCTCCAGATTCAGGACATCATGGATTTGCTAGAATTTGTGCTGACAACAACATATTTTAGTTTCTAAAACAACATCTATCAACAACGCTTCGGCACTGCTATGGGTAGTCCAGTGTCTCCCATTGTGGCTAATTTGTTCATGGAACATCTGAAGCAAGAAGCAATAGACACTTCCCCCATAGAATGCAACCCTAGCTTATGGAAACGCTTTGTTGACGACATACTTGAGATAATCAAGAAAGGATCACAGAAGGATTTTACCACACATATCAACACCATAGATGCCACTAAGTCATCAAATTTACATGTGAAGAACAATGCCCTTCCTAGACAATCTACTGGTAAAGAAAGAAGTCGTAACCGTGAAGGTATTGGTCTATAGAAAAAAGATCCATACTGACCAATACCTGAACTTCAAATCCCACCATCCTTTGCACCAGAAGTTAGGCGTCGTACACACATTGCCCAACAGGTGTGATGCAATAGTCACAGAAAAAACAGGACAAAACACGAGAGCAGAATCACATCGCTAGGGCAATGAGAACATGTGCATATCCGGAATGGGCCCTAAAACGGGTACAAAACAGTGTCAAAGTAAGGGAAAGCATAAGAAAAGGCCAATCAAGGATAAGAATATAACCAAAGGTCAGTTGGTCATCCCGTATATAAAAGGTTTATCCGAAAACATCCAGAGGATATATCGCGACCATGGCATAGCAACAGTCATGAATCCCAACACGACGCTTCGCAATATCCTAGTTCACCCTAAGGATAAAACACCTAAAGAAAACGTCGCAGAATGCGTAAACAAAATCGGATGTAAAAACTGCGACGCGTCGTATATTAGAGAGACTAGGACGCAATTTGGGGTCCGCCTTGGTGAACACCGGAAAGATACTCAAAAAGGTAGGAAAATCACCAGATCAGAAAGTAAGCAGTCTGAGTCCCAGGTAAATAAATCGGCAATCACAGACCATGCCACACAGAAAAATCATGTGATTGACTGGGATAACTCCAAAGTTTTGGACGGAGAGAGCAATCTGTTCGAGCGGCAGATAAAGGAAGCCATCTGGATACGCCGTAGTGTGCCAGTTTTCAATCGATACGAGGGTCTCAAAGACTATCGCACATCTATGACCAAGTATTAAACAAAGCGTAGCTGAATCGAGTCATTTCGGTACATATATAACAACTATTGTACATACGCTTACAGCGTAGCCGAAATCGACATCGATTTGTGGACAACTCGTACACATTTTACACCTTTGTGTGCATACGCTTCATTGGTCATTTGTCTGATGAATGTGACAGTGTACATATCGTACTAGTCATCGAAACGTCACATAGAAAATTGAATTGGTTGTGTTAAAAGAACTTTTCAAAATCCATTTCTATCGAAGTTCCGGAATATTTCTGTCATTATTGAGAGATAGCCATTTCGTTATTACGCCATAATAAGTCGCAATTACGAAAAACCTTGCACTCACCGGCTTTCGGATCAATATGATACCATAACAATATATTAACATTGAATTTCTTTATATTTCAATTATCACAAAGTATAATATCATAAAGACATATCAACAATACACAATCATATAAATATTACATTTCTTTATATTACAATTATCACAAATTATAATATCATAAAGACATATCAACATTACACAAACATATAAACATTACTTTTCGTTATATCAGATTCATAACATAATACGATATCCCACTATCAACGTCATACATACTTTTTACTGAGACAGGCCACCAGCACGATAGTCCCTACTAAAAACAGCAGGACGATAAACAGCAATACTAAGTTCGGACACCCAGTTATCATCCCATGGTCCCCTGTAGATTGAAGGATAGCTACATGAACATGAAATCACTTTCCTGTTACTAGTTCTTGTAAAATGAATTCGCCACCAGAGTCCCTCATCAACAAGGAGGATAAGAAGCGTATCAATTGTTAAACTTGAATAATTTTCTTCATAATAACATTTATAATTTATTTTTCGCTTTCAAAATAATGCATGAATATAAGTCAAACTTGGTAACCAGTTTACAAAAACATCATCAGTGTCAATCATATATAAAATTATGTTATAAACTTGGTAACCTGTTTACTAACTTGGTAACCTGTTTACAAAAACATTATCAGTGATAATTATATATAAAATTATGTTATAAACTTGGTAACCTGTCTACAAAAACATTATCAGTGTTAATCATATATCAAAATTACGTTATAAACTTGGCTGAGGCACAGTGAGAGTAACCTACCGGACAAGAACTGGTTGTACATGACATTCTCCCCCATTATGATACTGCGGGGGTTTCCACTGACCACTTATTAATATATCTTTGGGGTCAGTCTGACGTCAGTGGTCCCTCATCATGTTACGACTCTCTCAGTGCGACCTAATCAGGACGTCAGACATAGCCGCCATTTTAGATGCCTACTGTGGCACTGTATAACAGTCCTAATTACTCCGTATGGTCAAGTTATGTGAGTCGAATTAAATTATAAAAAAATAAATGTATTTGTCAAAATAAAATTAACAACTTCAATAGTAACAACATTTTTTTTTTTAATTTAACTAAAAAATGCTATATGGATGTGTTTATTGTATATGTTTATATTCGGGTCTACTGGTGTCCTTCTGCCATTGTTTATAGGTACGGGTAGGGTTGTGTTAATCTCAGATTAAAATCAGCGCTGTTGCCTGTATAAATAGAGTAAGTACATGACCGTCATAATGAAGGACTCATAATCTTCTTTGATCCTCATTAGATAGGGCACAATACAACTATACAACTGGTAATCCCTACATTGATGTAGGGGACTACGAGATCCGACCGGGCACAATGTTATACACTGGGTATATTCTTAAAGTTCTTTTCTTATTAATATCTAGCCTATTTCACGACGATCTCTTACACAAATGAGAGTGCCTAGTGAACCCCTTTATACACATACAGTTATTATCTAATTGCTACTTTTCCGTGTGGAACATAAATACAGTAGCAGGTTGACATTTTCCCTTATATATAACGTTAAATCGTTCAAAATATTAAACGCAGTTCATTTTCTATTTTGCAACAAAAGAATATACGAATACAAATGGACCATTTGATTATTTGAAACGTTTTGAAATGTAGAATATTATTTATGATGGATTTTAGGTCAAAATAAATAAATAAATCAGAAACAAAGAACAGAGCGTAAGTCGTGCTTATTTTTTTTTTTTTGATTTTCTATTAAAATTTATTTTATTAATGGATACATGTAAACCGTAAAGGGATTGGGCACAAGACGTCACAACACACAGAATTCTGCATACAGCACAACCTCATAAGTCTGTTCACTTGAAATCCCTTGCATCGTATAATTCCGTTAGCTCAGACACTTGAGCTATACATTATTGTCCTTAATACAGTATGTGACTAGAAAATAAAGTTTTCCGGATTTTGGAATTCTGGAATTTTGAGGTTCAGCCTAGTATCTGGAAGTATGGAAAGCTCCCTTCCTAGCTTTGTTCCCAATAGACAGTTTTCCCCTTGTCATTAAATACTGTGTAGAAGAGCCAAACATTAATATATTACAATTTTCTATAAATTGATATCGAAGGCCTTTCTATGTCCATCCTTTTTCAACGAAAATGTAGTTATTGTTTTAAGTTTTATTAATATATTTCTAACAAATTATATATTTTTCCAATTTTTCAGACAAATAAAGTGGTTTTTTTATTAATTTATTGATATTTTCACGTAAAAATACCCTTTTTTCATCTTTTCCATGCTAAATGAGCTGTTACGCATGTATGGCGCTATTTGGTATTTTGGAGTTGATCTGTATTTTGGAGTCATTCTGTTTGGAGACAGCGTTTTTGATGTTTTTATAAAATACCATATTTTCGTTGAAAAATAGAATAGTTCAAATAAAAACTTTGTAAAAATAAACCAAAGTAAACCAAAATCATTTACGGTAAAGAGAAGAAGCTCCATATGTTTGTTTCCGGATATTTTGCTGTCTTTCCAAATTCGTTTAACAAGTTAGTACTTCCGGTTATGACTTCACACTATGGATATTTTGCTGTCTTTCAATTTCGTTTAACTAGTTAATACTTCTGGTTATGACGTCACACTAACGGATGGCTGGCAAGACAACAGGCTTTGAAGGACGATGGAGACTGCGATTACAATGTAGCAGTCTAAGTAGAAATGAAGAGGAAAACCCCACCTACAGTAACTCTCTCGTGCAGGAATTCTAAAGTAGACGTCATCAAAACCAACTCGTCAATTTCACTCTACAGTCATGCAATAACTCGATGACGTCGTCAAACCCGCCCCCGTGATATCAACTAACGTAAGCCGACGAAGACACCGTCCAAACCAACCAGTGGTATCGACTTACGTGAGCCGAATAACTCGATGATGTCGTCAAAACCAACCCGCAAACCACACTCTACAGTCATGCAAAAAAGTCGATGACGTCGTTAAAACCAGTAAGCTAGATATCAACTAAAGCCGACGAAGACGCCGTCAAAACCTACATAAAGATTTCACTTCCGGTTATGAAGACATCAAAACCAACCCGTCAGTCCAAATTTACACTCTACAGTTATGCTTAACTCGATGACGTCATAAAAACCAACCCGTCAGTACAAATACACTATCTACAGTCATGCAAAAACTCAATGAGGTCGTCAAAACCAACCCGTAAGCTAGATATCGTACACTAACGTAAGCCGAAATACTCAATGACGTTGTAAAAACCAACCCTTCAGTCCAATTCACCCTTCCATGCCCCGCCCCCACGTAGCAACCAATGTCACGTGACTACATACTCCGACAACAAATGTAAACAAGCCATAGTATTTTTTGCCCATGGCGATGGCGGCAGCGACTGTTGCAGGACTCGGGGACATTCCCGATGATTTTTGTATTGGATACATTCAAGATGCAAACATTTCTGAAAAATGTTAATCCAAGGGACTATTTATTTTAGAGAGGGCTATGTCAACAACCTAAATTTTACACAAAATGATGCCCAAGCGGAGTTGGCAATCGGAGGGAGATGCTACCGAAGCATGAGAAAGGGGGAGAAGCCACACATCGTTAACATCACAGTAGACTTAACAAAGAAGTGTGTTAAAGACGCATACTGTTCGTGTACAGCTGGGTAATTATCCAGTTTGTGTTTGTCGAGTTCCGTTTTCTTTTTTAATTAAACGGTTGTTCAAAATAGCATGCAGTGATATACGTTGGTTTCCTTGTTCAGATGCTTTTTTGAACAGCGGTATTCGCGGCTCCATACTTGCCAACTCTCCCTATTTAGGAGGGAGACTCACGATTTTTCACCTTGAAATTGAGCAATTTCAACTGGTGAATTTGCTAAAATTTCATCTGAAAGAACAGCCCAAAAGATGCCATTTCCTTAGAGTGTACAGTACATACATACATTTAATTCAATCTACCCCATGGACATTTTAAAAAAGTATGACAAGCTGGTGTTAAACTGTTTTGGTTCTTAACTATAGCAATATGAGCATATATGAACCCCCTACATATTTGAGTGTACCCTAACTACAGACAGTAGTGTAGGCTAAAAGTACTATTTACAGTGAAGAAATGAAAAGTCTAAAACATTAGTCATATTAATTATATTTAATTATTATTTTTATGCACTCATCCAAGTTCTACAAATGAAGTGAATAGCAGCTTACATAAAGGCATAACAATTTACATAGACATTTATCCCAGTGGTCCCCCCTTCCCCCCCCCTTTTTTTTTTTTTTAAGGACATAGCATTAATTCTGTGTTGATAACAAATCATCAGTACATTATTACCCTATGCCCCACTCCCAAAATTATATAGTCTTACCCTTTCCACATTCTTCAATATCTAAGAGTGACAAGATCTGATGTGCAGCAGGCCAAGTTTACAAGTTTATTCCATCTGCGCAAGGGACTTGCGAACTTACAACGTTTCACGGTATGCCAGAGGTTCGCATCCTGTTCTGTAAATCACGTGTTGCCATTGAATTAAACGAACCCCATTTATGATTACATAGCTTTCTTATTACCCACAAATATATTCGAGGCACTGGCATCATTATAATTAGCACAAGTGTTTAGACAAATTTTAACAATTAAAAATGTTATGTTTCTTCTTTAAATTTACTTTTTTCTTCATTACATTCATGTTTATTAATGCCAAATTCATTTCATCAACCCAGCATGTTATATCAATGATTTTACAAATCACAAAAATATTTAATTTCATGGACAATGAAAAGAAATGCAACTGTATTATAAAATCTGCAGTTCTGAAATTTCAATATTTCTTTGATTTTTTTTCCCCTCTGAAAAGTTCAAAATTTCAACATACAAATAGTACTTCTAAGTTTACATGTACTGAATATTACTGATAGTGCCTACAGCTAAGTTCAGTGACTTCTTTAAATACAAAAGTCTATTTAGTAAATACTTAATAATGCTGGATATTCCAATATTAAATTTAAAGTTAATTGCATGGTAATATGTAAATATTATAGATCTGGTGAAAGATGTTCTGATGTTGTTGGCCTCGTCAAAACCATTCAACAACTAAAACTTCTTGGAATAACTGAAGTACCTGCTGAGCAAGCATGCACCAGTATTCCGCAGACATGGCACATTCCCCGGGGAAATAAAATCAAGCCAGTCCCGGTGAACCAAGTAGTGGTTGTCAAACCAAAGGATAATCACAAAAAGTTGCCAATAATCCCACAAGGTGTAAAATCAGACAGGTACAGATCAATGGCTGTTTTACAAAATATATAAATAAGAAATGAATATATATATATATGTGTGTGTCAAAGAAGTAATATAGACGGTAAAATCCCATATAACACTGGATCCTAATACTAACCCTAAACTTGTCCACACTGTTGGAATTACTTCTTTGCCTATTTATATATATATTTAGTTGAAATTTACATTTTACCAGGATAAAAATAATGCTGTAAGTAATAAGAGCTAAAGTATTAAAAGAATCATCTATACCTCCATCCAAATCATCACCCGTGTTTTAAACATATATCAAAAAGTTGTGATAACTTGAACTTTAACCAAAGCTTTTTGTACATTAAATCATACACAAAACTCACAACTAGTACATGTGACTATTGATGCAGGTTTCTGAATCTTACTGAACAACACAAACAAATTCTGAAGCGTGTAAAGGGTGCACCAATATTCAACCTTAATTTGGAATCAACTCCAGTTGTGTCCTGTAACCCAGTCCCTGTGTTACTAGGATCAGTATTTGGTTATCAGGTATGTATTCTGGAGTCTGCTTTTAATGTTATGTTATGATATTATATCGGGTTCAAAAGTTGCAAGAATAGCTGCTGTACCGTTTTGACTAATCTTCCAAACTCATGTCGACTGGCTGTGTCTAACAACGAGTTTTATTTAGCTCTCGCTTCGG